ACTCCCACCGACGCAGCCCCAAACAGTTTCTTTCGAAACTATCAGCCTTTAGAGATGAAATGTTTTCTATTTCATTTCTAGGCTGTCTTGTGCAAACCAGAAGCTTATTAACGTACGTAATTCTTAAATCGCCAAAAGAGCCTCGACCACGGGATAAACTTTCAAATATTTTATTGGGATTGTACAGGGCTTTGATCTTAGCTTCTTTACTTAGGAAACGTAGTCTGACTATCAGAGTTGGTCACCGCAAGTTTTCCTTTGGTCAAAATGTCTCATTACGCTTTACCGGGAAAATATGACTTTTCTCGGAAATCGATGAAGGAAAAAGGACGCATCGGAGTGGGGTAGAGAGAAAGAGGAAAGCGAAGCGGGTAGGGGAGGGGATAGAAAAGAGTGAAAGGAAGAGAGGGAGTGAAGCAGGCTATTTCAAAGGAGATCCAGTTACTGTAACACAAATGGGTTTACAGTTGCCTTTACTTAAACCTGCGCTCACCTTAACAGATATTATTCATAGGAGGAACAACTCACTCTGTTTGTGAAATAACGGACCTTATTACATCGCTCGCAGCACCCGTGGGCAAGATGAGGCGAATCCTATGTTCTGATTGCCTACCCGAGCGGGAAAGATGGGCCCATCTTGCCAGTTATGGATTGCCCGCATTGATCTCGCGGATGAAAAAAAAAATAGAAATAAAACCAACTTCGTAATTCTTGGACAATTTCGGCGATGTGAACGCAAAAAGGGGCAGAAGATAGTCAAAGAAAACAGAAACGACTCTTGTAAGTTTGTTGTGCTACAAACACAGATGGCTTTCTTTCCCAGTTCACTTTTAATTTTTAATCATGCGAAACCCTTTTGCGATATAATAAATCCTTTATTAACAAAGCTTGTTCGGTCAAGATGGCTAGACATTAGCCTTGTCCTTTTTTTTTTGCATTTTTATGGACCGAGACGAAGTCGAGGCCATAAAAATGCGAAAAAAGAACGTACTCAGCCAATATCCAACCATCTTGACCTCACGCTCACTTAATAATTCATGTTTCTTGATAGAGTTCTGGCATGAAGGAGATACATGTTTATGCAACAATAATTTGCTTGAAGTGAAGAAAATAATTTTGAAGTGGAA